CAGCAGGAGCCTTTTAAATTTAAATTACTTATGGCAACAAATATAAAGTATTTGTTCTAATCTGTAACATTTCTCATTAAAAAAATTGTCTAAATGAGAACCAGAAGAGACACTGGTCATAAAGCACTTCTCTGAGTACATCAGCAAAAATACAGTGTGTACATTTAAATTTCTAACTCATGCTTTGTCCTGTTGCAGACCTTGGTCCCTCATAAAGAAGCTTTGCCAAGCAACAATTTGTACTGGTCTTTTTATATGTGTATATGCCAGGGGTGTTACAAAATGCACATTTAGCTATGAAATACGTCTATTCCTTCTTTTACCATATAGAATTTTGGAGAAACTGTCTTGAAGAACTGGATATATTACGGGATAGATATTTTAGATATTACTGATGTTTATTTTATCATTTTTTTGCCTCTAAATTTTTCCATTAGGTGTGATCATTGGTAAAAGATAGAGAGTCAAAATGGCAGTAGGAACTGCCAAATAACCAAACCACATCTCCCTGTTTTTTTAAAGTCTGCACCAGCAGACTGTAGCCCTCAAAATGTGCCAATGCTTACTGGCTACAACTATTGCTCAAGCCATACCAATGGCTTTCCTTGATTGTATACTACCTAAAATATGGCATGCAGGGAGATCCAGCATAGACATGGCTAGCCCTAGGACATGGATCTTTCTGGAGGACCTTAAGTGCCATTTTGAATGCCTGAAACACTTGTGATTCTTCCTGTAGGCCAACACTCGTGTCCCACCCCTTATTTGTATGTAATGGGACCTATGAATATTTTACTGCAGACAGCCCATTTCATACTATTATGCAGGACCATCCCTTACAACTAGTATCCACTTGGAGTTAGTCTTATAAAAAAAAACACTCAAATGGATTTTTCTCCAGATTTTCTGGTCAACAGTTGCATATGAAAAGTATTTCAGATGACTTTTCCCACAAAATACCTGGATTTTGCTGATGCTATGGAGAACAGGGGGATTTCACTGTTTTATCTGATGTTCATACATGTTTCCATATGTTTGTTTTTCTATTGGGTATTGGGCACTGAGTTCGAGCAGAAGGAGGCTTAAAGAAAACTAGCAGCAAACATTAAACAAAGTCCTGGATAAGGAATTACCCCAAATACAATAGCCAGTCTCCCAGCTGTGAAAGGCACTCCTCAACCAAGGGCTGGTAACAGGTTCTGCGTACCAAACCTGAGAACTTGGAGATGGAAAGACTCAGATCTGTTTAGAGGCCTGGCCTACAGAGAGAGGTGCCAGGAAGCTGTCAGCAGCCACATGCTGAGACAGATGTAGGGAGAGTAAGGAGCTGCAACAAGAAAATGAGAACACCAAGTTAAAATTTTGACTTCCTACAGGCTTGAGATTCATACCAAACACAGACCTTAGAAGGAGAATATTTTCAAGGGCTAAATCCACTGGACCTGTGGGTAACCAATTTGAGAACTAGTTCTGAAATAGTTAAGGAGCTCCTGGAGGAGCTGGATGGGTACAAGTCAGCAGGCCCGGATGACCTCCATCCACGGCTGCTGAAAGAATTGGCCAGTGTCATAGCTGAGCCACTGGCACAGCTGTTCGAGCGCTCATGGTGCTCCAGCCAGGTCCCAAAGGACTGGAGAAGGGCCAACGTGGTGCCCATTTTCAAGAAAGGGAGAAGGGATGAGCCGGGTAACTTTAGACCACTCAGTCTTACCTCTATTTCTGGGAAAATGCTAGAGAAAATAATCAAAGAACACACTTGTGCAGGCCCAGCAGGGGAAACAATGCTGAGGGGAAACCAGCATGGGTTTGTCACAGGTAGATCCTGCCTGACAAACCTTGTAGCCTTCTGTGACCAGGTCACACACAGCCTGGATGCAGGAGCCAAGGCTGATGTCATCTTCCTGGATTTTAGGAAGGCCTTTGACACAGTTTCGTACCCTGTCCTCATTGGGAAGCTAGCAGACTGTGGAATGGATGCCTACACGGTCAGGCGGGTGGCCAACTGGCTTAGGGACTGAACCCAAAGAGTGGTGGTAGATGGTTCCTTCTCGGCCCGGAGGGAGGTGGGCAGTGGGGTCCCACAGGGTTCAGTCCTCAGACCGATATTATTTAATATCTTCATCAGTAATTTGGACGAGGGTGTTGAGAGCACCCTCTCCAAGTTTGATGCTGATACCAAGTTATGGGGCAAAGTTAGTACACCGGAGGGCAGGGAGCAGATTCAGGCTGACCTGGACAGGTTGGATCAATGGGCAGAGAGAAATAGGATGCAATTTAATAAAGATAAATGTAAGGTACTCCACCTGGGAAGGAGGAACCCCCAGCACAC